TTCGGCAATATCCGGTTTGGACGGCCTGGTTGGCTGTTATTCACTCCATTTGGCTTGTGATCCACAACCTCAGGATCCCCAAACGGAGCAAAAACCCGCGATCCTATATGGGTTTAGTTCTACCTTGTTTTCGCGGTCAGCCTGAAAAGACTCCCACTGCTCAAACAATCGCACACCCCAGCCCAGTGACATTAAATGTGATGTCTGTTACGGGGTTGTCCAAAATCAAAAGTGTCAGGCCAATGATAACACCGCATCGTCATACCCAGTTTCATAGCGCACCCGCAACTATTCCGTTCCGCCTCTCGACTGTACACTCCCGCTCACCCCTTCCATTACCAGCACATACGAACATGTTCACCACCTAACCCAAGATGCCTCCGTGACATGTCCATTCCAATCTACTGAACCCTTTGTTTGAATTTAACGATTTCTGTGTGTCTGTGCTTCCAGCAGTATTCAATAACTTCCACTACAGTTCGTGTTATTGCTTGTGTGTTGCCACTATCTCGCTCTTTCAAGGAGCCATTTTGCGACACTGGTGACTTCTCAGTTTTGATTTACACCATGATTCTGAGATTTCTGTAACCATTTATCCACCCTGCTAATCCCTCCGCTTCATCATCCTCTTTTACGCTTTTTGTGACCCTTGCCAAGAGCCCAATTGTCCAAGGCCACATGACCTTAGCGGTGGCTTCAGGTTTTAGTTCAATATGACTGGCTGGATGAAGCCAACTCTGCTACCTCACCTGATCTGATGTTCTGGCTCCTAATTTTTCACCGTTACGCCCTTCTTGTCATGTGTCAGGCAGGAAACTTGTTGTTTTACCCTCCTTCACTTTATTTTTTGCCCACCGCCTTCAAATCCTGACGATCCTATCTTGCGCCATATTCTCTCCAATAACGTACTGTAACTATGCTTCCCTGCCTGTGCCGGTTTGGTAATGCTCACGCCCATATCGAATGATTACNGGCTGTTATTCACTCCATTTGGCTTGTGATCCACAACCTCAGGATCCCCAAACGGAGCAAAAACCCGCGATCCTATATGGGTTTAGTTCTACCTTGTTTTCGCGGTCAGCCTGAAAAGACTCCCACTGCTCAAACAATCGCACACCCCAGCCCAGTGACATTAAATGTGATGTCTGTTACGGGGTTGTCCAAAATCAAAAGTGTCAGGCCAATGATAACACCGCATCGTCATACCCAGTTTCATAGCGCACCCGCAACTATTCCGTTCCGCCTCTCGACTGTACACTCCCGCTCACCCCTTCCATTACCAGCACATACGAACATGTTCACCACCTAACCCAAGATGCCTCCGTGACATGTCCATTCCAATCTGCTGAACCCTTTGTTTGAATTTAACGATTTCTGTGTGTCTGTGCTTCCAGCAGTATTCAATAACTTCCACTACAGTTCGTGTTATTGCTTGTGTGTTGCCACTATCTCGCTCTTTCAAGGAGCCATTTTGCGACACTGGTGACTTCTCAGTTTTGATTTACACCATGATTCTGAGATTTCTGTAACCATTTATCCACCTTGCTAATCCCTCCGCTTCATCATCCTCTTTTACGCTTTTTGTGACCCTTGCCAAGAGCCCAATTGTCCAAGGCCACATGACCTTAGCGGTGGCTTCAGGTTTTAGTTCAATATGACTGGCTGGATGAAGCCAACTCTGCTACCTCACCTGATCTGATGTTCTGGCTCCTAATTTTTCACCGTTACGCCCTTCTTGTCATGTGTCAGGCAGGAAACTTGTTGTTTTACCCTCCTTCACTTTATTTTTTGCCCACCGCCTTCAAATCCTGACGATCCTATCTTGCGCCATATTCTCTCCAATAACGTATTGTAACTATGCTTCCCTGCCTGTGCCGGTTTGGTAATGCTCACGCCCATATCGAATGATTACCATCCCTGTGACGCTGTCCTTTTTCCTAAATCATCTGCCCGCAATCCTCACCAGTCAAGCTTTTATTCTGACCATAAGATTATGATCAAGCCTGAGGGTATGTCGCCCACATGACTGTCACATACAGCTTCTCACTGGGTGAAAATCAAGTTTGTTGTAGGTCATTCGTTGTCAAGTCCTGCCAGAAGTTGGTGTGACGAAAAGGCTTGGACTGAACGTAGACATTCCTGGTGTCCTCTGTAGGCTTCGGATAAAATAGCGAGTTACCGGTGGGTTCTGCATTGAAGGTGTAGGAGCTGGCGTATTTCAACGGCGGCTCGCACATCCATTTATTCAGTTTTCGTTTTCTTCGTGTAGAACCGAATAAAGTGGTCTGTTTTCGTATTTTTGTTCGGCGCATTTCACACTTGGAGCTTACCAACTTACGAATTGCCATCCAACTCTCTGCTTATTAAAGTTGGCATTTTGAAGAATAACTGGTGCCTTGTTTCCAAAAGCCGCCGAATCCGTTTCGGCAGACGTTAGTTTGTTCGATTCCGCGCAAGTTACTTTGTAACGAACTTCTCGCCAGGCTCATGAAGTTTCTGGACAATGGTCTGCAGGTCTTTTCAGCTGAAGCTGGTCGCAGTTAAATCTGGTCAAGGAAAATATACATTCCTGCAAAATCTGAGCGGCGGAAAATAATAATCCACATCTGAAGTTCCGGGCCTCTGGCTCATCAGCCACTGAAGTAAAAAGTCAGCATATAGTGGACAGTTTGCTTAAGTCTAGCGTCAATTAACACGTAATCAACGGAGTGTCTTTCACTGGTGATAACCAAAACTATGAGGGGTGCTAGTCGACCTGCGCACTATCTACTTGGCGTGTGGATATTCCGCGCCCAAGCATTCTGTTGAACAAGTTTAACCAGAGCCAATGCAAAATTCGACTAAAACAAACGCCCTGGAACTCCTCTCACAAAACCTCGGGAGCTTTGAAATCACCTCATAGCAAATTATACTTGGAGCGGTGCATATGGGAGTTTTGCACGGGTACTTGTGTAAGAAACAGGTGCTCGTTCAGTGGATTTGAGGAGCAATGGCAGAAGACCAAGTAATAGTATAACCGGCGAGATGCGGCAGAAGTTTAATCCATGGTGAGCCGCATTCACGCGTGATGCAGCCCCATTCAAACCTTAGCTTGGAAAACACAGTAACCGTCCATCAACATCTTCGTGTCTGGGAAGCTTCGGGTGAGCCGGGCCACTTTAAGTACGATTATGGCCGGTTGTTTCAAGACAGGCCAAGTGCTGAGTATAGCAAGGCAAGCATTGCTAGCAAGTATAGTTAAGACAGCGTACGGACAAACACTTCAACCATACTTCTGCTGTTTTCAAAAAATATGGAGCAATCAGGTGCTCTGCAACTACAGACGTCAGCTAATCTGATCCCAGAGTTCCGAAGCAGACCTTGCGGCAAGCATGTCTGATTCCCGCCTAGTGCTTCCAACACCCTTTAATCATTTGCAGATTGCGATCGCCATCCAGGAATCCTATTTGCACAAACCTTTTAAAGGGAGGCAGTTTCTTCTCTGCCTTCAAACATTTTACCAGTCACCTCCCGCAGCTCGTGGAATGCTACCTTTTGGACACCAAGATTAGCCGTTTCTGGAATATTTGCGATGAACATCTTTTGTTTGGTTTGTGAGTTTTCCAATCTCGATTTGGACGTTGAGTTGTTGACTCTATTGTTTTCCCTATGCGTTGAATGAGTCTACCACAAGTTATGGATTGTTGACTCTCTCTTGAACTCCAGAGAGGCTCGGTTTAGAAGTGGACTGCGCCTTGAATTCGGCGAACTGCTGTCCGATTTGGTGATGCAAGTGTGACTTATTTGGCTGTGGTCGGTCTCCTTTTATAATTATACAAACGCCCGACCCGTCCGCGAACAGCTTGGCTCGTGTATGCAGGTTTTCAAGACAGAGGACTGTCGAGTTTTTGGCTTTGGTTCTCACGGCCCAGAGTGAATACTGGATTCACAACAGATTGGCTACTTTTGACGGAGTGGAGTTGGAGGCGACGTGGTTAGCGGTTTCAGAAGAATCTCCCGTGGTTGTCTTCACTACACCCGCGTTGTGGGGTTAAATATCGAGGTAAGCTTCAGCCAGTTTAAACTGTTCAGCAGTTTGGGACTCTCGCATCAGCCACGGACGCTCAGGTCAGTCATTGGAATTCTCCACATGTCTCTGCACGACTGACTTAATCCGGCTGAGAGTTTGTGGTTGGGTATGAGGTTCACAGATGCAGTTTATCGTTCGCTGAGGGGATCAGGACGACAGATCCACTCATGTGTAATGCACAGTCCGTTGAATTTTTTAAGCAGTTTGTGCTCGACTGAAAGATTCAACTTGTTAACTCAATAGGCGGAAAGTTTCCTTGGCAAATTTGTGTAAGGGAATGAAGAGAAGAATTTTGATAATACCGCGTTAAAAAAAGAAACCCAAATGCGTAGAGATATTTAAGTGCTAAAACTTTTGTTCAGTGGATTATTGTGCAGTCAACTTTGCAAATTATTTTGCTGGTCATTGGGTATTCGTCTGAATCCTTCCTGTATCTCACATATACGTTATCAGTCAGGATACGCAAGGCAGAAGCTGCTGCTCTTGTGTAGCAGATTCATCTGAAAAATATCACGAACGAGCGACGCAGCTGGAATGTTACAAACTCCTCCTTTAAATTCAGGTCATATTGTACATGAATTCACACAGTCATTTACGTACAGTTGGTTGCTCGAATTGAACACAAGGTTCGTTCCTGAGGAAGGGAAAATGCTGGCTGTAACTCCGAGGACTGCGCCTAACTGATGGGCCCCAAACGGGAAGAATCCGGTCATGAGCGCTCGAAGAGGTCTCGACGACACTATATGCAAAACGCCCCTGTAGTTTTAGCTCCGAATAACTTGTACCCTCCCGGCAAATCAAACATGCTCAACGAGAACGAACTCCATCCGAGAAGCTTGGAAAAGCGCCTGGCGATCCAACCCTCCGGGATGACCAACCTGGGCCTTAGGACGGCTGCAGCTTCATTGGATTAGCCAGAAACCATTGAAACATGCAATTCTGGGTTTGTTTTACTGAGCCAGATAAGCTGCGGCATTTTAACCCGCGCCACAGTACTCAGCCTTGTAACTGGCGCCCGTCCTCGCGGTCCCTATATGGTTCACTAGTGGAAATGAAGCGGCACGCATATGTGAGCCAAATTTCTGGCCGAAAGTCTGGCCACTCGAGGGTTCATGCGGACGGCAGTTTAACGGAATCATATAAAGATGCAACTCAAAATGCTTCTCAGCGTCCGCGGAAATCTTTGCTTAATCGCCCATCTCCAGACAATGGGCACTCACAACGTGATTCAAGAAAAAACAGAACTCCTGGACGAAATGCCGCCCCCCAGTTCTCGTTCGCGGGACGTGGAGACAATGCAATCAGGTAATTTGTGTGTTGAGTCTTGCATGGCCGTAAGCGCACAAATTCGTGTGCCTAAGTTGCTCGGTGCCAGATGCACTTTGCTCACTCATCAGTGCATCCATCCATCGGTTACTCGATGCTACGTTGTGTTTGTCCGGCAACCTCACTTGGAGCGTCCGTCGTCAACTCCGTGTGTAAGGTGTCACCAGAGCGTCCGTATTGTGCTTTTGGATCGCCATTTCAGTCTTGGTCATCTGGTCCGCTGTTTTCAAAGTGTGGTCCCAGGAAGCTTAACATGACTTTGTTCGTCTTTTGCCGGATAAAAGCATTTCGACTCGCGCACGTGCCTCGACCCAAGACACAGGTGCTAACCGTTGGTGTTACCATCCACGATGACGTCAACTACAGGTGCCTTGTACTGTTATTGAGATATCGGATATCCATGTTCCTGGTCCTTCACGGTGTGCTCCCAGGGCGTCACTGGCTGGTAGCTTGCGGAGATGGGATTCGCGGGCACGAATAGGTTCATTTGTATATCTACAATATCTGCTTGTGAGATCCCGGGTTTGGTGTCATCGCTGTGATTGGCAAACAAACTATCTTCATATATCAGAGTACCATCTGCCATTTGAGCGTTCAGACCAGCCGATGTTTTCAAACCCAAATTCTATGAAATCGGGGGACTTAACCTCTTTTGGGGTTTCTGTTATTCCGTGTAGATTAATGTTTAGAAAGTATCTATTACGTCCCTATCGATGAACCAACATGTGTACAACAGTCCAAGACGGAAGTCGGCAGCCGGTTTGAAAGCACCTGTGGGGATTCGAAACCTGGTAGAAACGGAAGTCCACGGTGTTGTCCACTGGGCTACCCTGACAGATGTTCGAAAATCCGTCCAGGAAAAAACATGTGCTTTCCCCATTAATCTTTTAATTATATCCTATCCAGGCAGTTGTCTGTGAAACTATCCTACTTGCAACCGTTCACAGATTGAGCTTGTGTTTACGTGCATTGGGCTGCTGAACAAGGATTCGTAGTACAGTTCTTGGTCACCACCGGTTCAATCACATACAGTAGATTAAAATGCCTTCAGGCCTACTTGTATTCCTGCGGGCACTATAGAAATATCTTCAATGATGATCATGCCCAGCAACGTGTGAACCCCACGGGCATTACCACCGAAGTCTATCCGGTCTGTTAATGTTAAGTCTTCTGTATGTTTCCGTGATATCTGGACAGAGGATGTGGTATGTAAGTTGAGTAATTTTTTGCACCTTTGCACCCTCCGTTTGTTTTCGCCATTTTGTTTCATTCACCAGTTTTGTCCACTTAGACATACAATTTATAGCTTGCTTTATACCAACATTAAGCGGTATACCAGTGTGTGCGAACGCCATTTGCACCCTCGTTTTGTCATGCCATTGATTTATATGCTACGGTTGCCTTATGTCCCACAGGCTCGAGTGAAGGCTATTGGAGTCATTGACCGTTTTTTCTACCTTGTTCCTGGCCTACGTGTTTCTGGCTTTAGGCGTCACACCCTTTAAGATAGGATTTTTAATGGTGTGGCATTTTGTCGACCTCGATAATTACACCGGCCAGTTCTGTTATGGAGTGCTTGATTTTCAGTAGTCTGATAAGTCAGGGTTTTCTTTTTTGCCCGATAGCCTAGACTGAAATCACCGAGTAAAATATCTTGACAACCTTTCAAATTCACCGACTCGTATTTCACTTTCTCTGTTTCACTCTGATCAACGGAAGGAGGCACGGGGACCGAGATACTGTCAGATTGCCCAAGTCTAGACAGGAGCGGTCGAGATGCAGTGATTGGGTTCGAATCACGGAACTTCCAATAGATGTTTTTTTCAAACCGTCAGCTCGTAGAACCACGCCGCGCACATGGGTGAACCACAGCTTTGGTATTAATGGACCGTCAAGGCGCATTTAACTATGCTGACATTTCTGTTCTTGTTGGCCCGTGTGCTCATCAAGGAGTACCCCAGAAGTTTGTGAATATAATCGATTCCTTGTACTCTCAGGACTGCGTGGGATGACCACGCACCCGTCCGGAATCGCTTCTTCGTTTTCCAGGGCCGCTTAAGGTGCGAAAAATTGTGTGGCAACTGGGAGACTGGCAAATCCGGATGTTAGACGAATATCCCGGAACCATCTACAGGCTCTTCTAAATGCTCCACCGTCATATGTGAATTCATACTAGGATGAGATCGCCACCTCTTTGCACAGTGCTGAGAATTTTACTGTGACATGGTGCTATCAGGCTCACTTAAGCACTGGATACCAGACCAACCAGTGACACTGCTTAACTCTCGGTCCCGAACATCCTTGTCAGAACCAGCTCTTCCAGCGCCTGACGGATGGCACGATGTCGGATATAAACGGTCACTGGGAACACACATCCATAGCGCTACTCAAGGCCGAAGACTGCCGTACGACCCAGGCAACCTCACCCAAACATTGGATCTCAGATAGGACCGTGTCTTTGCCGGAGCCCCAGCGACAGGTTCCTCCTGGCCGCAACCACAATTTCACTGGACATACCTTCCGACTCCAGGTGAACCTGAGTATACGAACAGACCGAGGACATTAGTGGACTCAAAAGGCCGAAGAAACGGATGATACAAAAGTGTTGGAAATATCTGCAAGCTGTTCCACTTGATTCGTTCGATAGTCCTCTGAAACCTTTTGTCGGAAAAATAATCGGGGGCCAAAATGGCACCCTGATATGCAGCAAAGCAGAACGTGTGAACCGCTGGGCACAGTATTTCGAACAGCTATTCAGCTGGTCGTCTGCTACCTCCAATCCAGAATCCTTGCCTTCAACAGAAAGGTGGCCGTGAATATGGAGCAGCCTTCAGCCTCAGAAGTGTCCGAGTCTAGTTCCTTACCAAAGTGTCATCGGTTTGCTGTTCCTAACGACTTTTCACCTGTTCTTTCAAGGATAGCGGTGGATTTTCTACCCAGTGCATGTCCATCCTATTTTGGTGTATCTGGGAGAAAGAGACCGTCCTAGACAACTGGGGAGAATCGATAGTGGTGCGCATTTTCAAAAATGGTACTCGCAGTGAATGTAGTAACCACAGACGTTTTACTTCGAGTTCTGTTGTGACAAGGCTTCTGGCGTCACTGATTCTTCGACGTCTGACAATGGCACGCATCCGTCGAAATCAAGCGGGTTTTTGACCGCATAGAGGCTGTGTGAACCACATCTTCACATTTCGTCAGGTGTTAGAGCAACACTGTATGTACAGACGATCTACAATCTTGATATTCCTTGACTTCAAGGGTGAATTCGAATCTGTCGATCGGTCGGTGCTGTTAACTACACTTGCTCAGCAGGGCATGCCCCAGAAGTTTGTGAACATAATCGGATCTCTATATTCTCATACTTATGGTGGGGTGAGAATGTATGGTGAGCTCTGAATAAGCTCCCCTACAAAAAGTGGTGTCCGAGAAGGAAACCCACTCCCCATTCTTGTGCAGCTTCATCATTGATGAAATAATGAGGCGAACGCTGAAAGGTCTTCAAAACCCCGGTATTCAGCTTGTTGCTTTTGAGGATCTTGTCGATATGGACTACGCAGACGACATTGCCTTCGTCTTTGAAGCCCTTAGCGAAGCACAAGACCCTGTTGAATAGACTGACCACCATCATGCCATCTTTCGGTATGCGGCTTAAACTTTCAAAGCGCAAAGTCATGCTCCAGAACATGCAGTCTGCGAACATATCCCTTACAAATCAAGTAGAATCACTGGAGATTGTGGAAAATTTTACGTACCTCGGTAGTTGTATTAGCTCTGACGGAAACGTGTTTGATGGAGTCAGTGTAAGAATCTGAAAGGCTCGAATCACGTTTGCTAATTTGAGCCACTTGTGGCGTCAAAAGGGCATACAACTATATGTTAAGGGTCGCATGTACCAGGCTACAGTAAGGGCTGTGCTGTTGCGTGATTGTGAGACGTGTCCTCTGCAGACAGATGATGTGATATACTCGACCACCGACGCCTCAGAAGTGTGGCTGCTTTTGGGTGGCGTCAGCGTGTTAGTAACGAGGTGATTGGAAGACGCATATTTGGTTGTGCTGCAGATACTTCAACGGGGGAAAATATCTAACACTACCGACTACGATGGCTCGGTTATGTGCTACGCATGCCGAAACGTCGTCTATCGAGACGACTGGTGTTCTCCGTGTCTCCTTCAGTATGGTGTAAGCCGCGAGGTGGACAGCGCATGACTTGGCAGAATGGCGTGAAAGAGGTCACGGAGAGCTTGGGTGTTATCGGTGTTCTACGCCTTCCAGGATAGGGTCCCCGTGACCCCATCTGTGCCTGGCTGGAGACATTGCAGGAAATGGCTAATTAATGTCAGTGATGTTCGTGCTGTCACTTTCTTCCTAGATTCTCATAGAGTGCCTGGAGGTGTAGGTACCTCAGAGTGCTTGACATTGACTAGCACTAGGTCCCCTCTCTCACCCACTCTTTTTCATTTCACCCTGGCAACTTAAATATAATTAAACGAACTTTATGGTTGTACAGCAATGAAGCATCATTGTCAACATTGATGTTGCTGTCTTTGATGATGATGACGATTGACGGCGGCGAATTATTAGACGCAAAGTGAAAGCGTGCGTGTGTTGCGACCGTGAAGTCTGTGGACACGAAAAACTAAGGAAAGAAAAGAGGTCCAGAAAGCCGGGAATGCCCTACATTATTTCACTTGATCCGTGATATTGGCCCCCGGGAACCACGTTTGGGCGAAACCATCAACCATCATCATCACTGTCAGCTGTAATAACCGGGTACTCGTCGTACAGTGATTGGAGCTGCCACAGTTTCGTTCACCGATGATTTGGCGGATGGGGGGGGTAGGTAGCCGCGCACTGCAGGCGGGAGATGATAAATTGGTACATAAATCCAGCATTGTCAGTGGGCTGTCAAGTGGGGGGGGGGGAGTTGGAAAAGGGGTTATGCAGCGTCCACCGATGTCCCTCCAGAGGTCAGCCATAGACGCTGTACGCAGCTATCACATGAACTGCCTGACTGATTATCGGGACGATGTGAATTGATGATTTTGATCCCTAGCAGACCGGGGAACAGACAT